TATATATATATATATGGAATTAAGCTATTTGTTTTGAATATTTGAACAAAGAAAAATATTATGTAATACTTTAAATAAAATGTAATAATAGAGTGTTGTCGTGTGTTTTTTCGTTACAGGCGGTGTCTGAGAGGTTGGAACTTGCACCAGCTGGAGGAAGATCTGAACCCCAAGTGAGTTATTTATAAATATTATTTTGTAGCCTAGCTTTTAAGAGGAAATACTTTTACTGTCAAGGTAGTCAGTAAAAGAATGTCGATATTATCTATTGTCCCGTTAGAAAACAATTCTTCTCGGCTGATATCATTCACATTTCGGGATTGTACAAACTCGAGCATGAAAAAATCGATTAATTGACATAAGTTATTTTTTTTTATTTTTTGATTCACCTTAGCTATCTATCTATCTATCTATATAATAATCGATAATTTGCGTTTAATATTTTATACGAAAATATAACACAACCCTTTTTCTTTCTATTTTCAAAGTTAACTTAGGTGTAGTTATGATTCTCATCGATATTAAAATACTTTCCAAATTTTCTTCTTTTATATACCACCACCTTATGTCTTCATTTTTATATTAAATAACTCGGTATAAGATAAACTTTTTAATTTAAAACACAATAACAGTTAAGAATGTGTTAACACAATCAAAGTGAAAATTAAAATGATAATATTATCTTTGAAATAACTTTGTATAATAATAATTATAAAAAGAAACACACATTAATAAAAAAGTATTCATCTTTGATTGTTGCACGAAATATTTTTTCGTATGAAACCACCATTTTCATTGTTGTCATTTTAATTCATCTTCTGTATATAAGAGACGTATATATACATATATTGCAAGTGTCCAATCTTCATTTTCTTTTAAAGGTCGCAACGTTATGCGAAGTCGGTGAGGTTTACCTGGCACAACACATGGGCGAGCAAGGTAGATGGGTGTCGTCGACCGATAAGAAGAGTTGTATGACAGACAAACTCGAGATTTTAGAATATTGTAAGAAGGTAAGAACAAACTGTGAGATTAAAACTACCATCTTTTAAATTCAACATATACTCCTCCTGCATACTATCTTGCATGCAAAAACAAACATTCAAGTGTCGTTTCATTCAAAAATTCATTTTTAATATGATCAATATTTTACTAATATGATTTAGAAATAACGAAATAAATCAAAAACAACCCTACACACACGATGTATAATGATACATGAAAATAATACATGTCTGTTAAAGTTTGAAAAATTAATTTGAACACATTGAGTGCCACGTCAGTCATCGATGACTGACACTAGACTTTCCGTTTAGGCCACGTCCGTCACAGATGACTGACATGTTCAACTTTTTTCAATACAAAGTAAAGCCTGTGGCCTGACGGAATGTTTCCTAAGAATTAGCGTGGCCCTCTCAACGTGTTAAAAATTAAGTTTACACAATTTTCTACTTTTGAAATGAATTCTCAATCGAATATTCCCTAAAATCAACTTTGAAAATTCATTTAAAAGATAGATAAATGGCAAAAAAAGAAAAAGAAAGGAAATGGTTCGTTCAATCTGTAGAAATAACAAATGAAATGAAAATACATACCATGGATGGATGAAGTGCAGGAATGGGTGAATTAGGATGATGATAACGTGAAGTAGAAGAAGAAGAAGAATAAGAAAAGAAAAGAAAAGAAAAGAAAAGAAATAAAGGTGGTAAAAGGAGATCGTTTAAAATCAGCCGACACCAACACGACACGTCATTATTCTCAGCAAAGAGTCTTCTCTCTCGTAGTAGGCTCGTTGAAGCCTAGTGGGTACTTTCAATTCGGGAGTAGAAACGCTATAGAAAACGTACACGGCTTCCAGCTTCTCTCTGGCTCGTTTGGGAAGGAGTAAAAGGCTTGGGTAGAGTTTGAAAAAGAAAAGTAGAGAGAGAGAGAGAGAGAGAGAGAGTAGTATACCTCTGCTACCTTTTCTTTCTCACTGTTTTCTTCTTTTACTTTTTTCTTTCTCTTATATATACACACACACCTTGTCCATCTCATGAAAGTTATTTGCAAGTATATATTTTTTTTTCTTCTCTCCCCCAAAAAGAAAAAAGAAAAAGGAAAAAGAAGAAGAAGAAGTAGAAGAGAGTAGAAACGAATATAGAGCAGGTATGTCGAACTCGAATACTTCACGAGCCTAGCTAGCTAGCTAGGTGTATCATGCTAGCAGAGAGAGGATTGTTAAGAATAAAAAGTAACAGAATGAAAGAGAAAAGAAAAAGAAAGATAAAAAGAAATGGGAGAAGAAAATATACGAGCACAAACACAATGACAACCCCCAACGTGTAAAATAAGTAACGATCGTCAAAAGAAAGACATGTATATATATATATATAGAATAGTTGGTTGGTGTGAAAGTAGTTTGTAGTGGTAGTAGTAGTAGTAGTAGTAGTAATAATAATAATGTGGTGTAGTGTGTGTTACTGCTGCTACTGCTACTACTGCTGCTGTTGCTGCTGCTGTTGGTGGTTTACTGTTGTACGTGTTGTATGCACGCCTCTTTTGCTCGTGGCAGCCTCATTTCACTCACGATACAACCTCGATTCACCCACGCCCGTATTTTCCTTCTCTAACTTGCAACACAGAAGACCGCAAGAGCGCTTGCGCTTCTAAAGAGTCCACGGTTTGGCATTCCATCTCATACAACACACACAAACCAAACTGTTTTCTACCCTGTTTAACTTCATCCTAGACTATACATATATTTATATGTTTTCAAATGATCTCTATATATTATTTTCAATGTAATACACCACTGTGTCAGGTTTTTTCTTTTTTGTTTGTTTGTTTTTTTTTTTTTTTTAAAATGTAAGGTTCATTGAATTATTATTGGATATTTTATTAACATTTTTATTATCTAGTCAGTAAATTTATAAATAAATTTAGATTGTTCATATGATAATTTTTGTCATATGTTGAATTTTTATTTTATTGTAATATTGGATTAATCAATATAATGTTGAAATTTATTGTATTATTTATATTTCAATAAGTAGTAATATTTAGTATTAATTTTCTTATTATATTTAATTTGATAGTATTTTCTATATTTATTGAATTATTTATCATTTCACAATAAGTTGTAATATTTAATATTAATTATATTAATTATATTTAATTTAATAGTATTTTCTATATTGAGTACTCCAATACTCTTTAGAAATTTTAAGCAATTAAATATTAACTATTATCAACATTTGTAATCGTTTAATTTTATTATGAATTCGTTTTTTTTTTCTTTTTAAATTGAAAGTTGATCATTGATAAACAAGTTGAAAATTATTCGAATTTTATAATTGAAAAGGATTTAAAAAAAAAAAAAAAAAAAAAAGAAACATAAATGATTAAGTCTAGTTTATAAAGTATGTTAAGGATAGATGATAGAGATCATCCTGCTTGAATATTTATGATATTTAAACTGAAACCTCATTTTTTTTCTAGGCATATCCAAAGAGAGACATCACTAACATTGTCGAGTCGTCACATTATGTCAGAGTTAGTGGATGGTGCAAACCTGGTAGAACCAAATGTAAATTGTCCAGATGGGTTAAACCATATAGATGTTTGGGTAAGCATTAAATAAAAATAAACAAATAATAATTAACAATTATTTTTCTTCTTTTTTGGGGGCGGGGGGGGGGAGGGGAGGGGAGAAATATTTGAATGAAAAGTATATATTCAAATATTTGAATTAAAATATTTCAAACAAAACATTTGCACATGTGCACATGTACACAAAAACAAACATGTGCACACAAACATTGCACAATGTTGTTGAAAACACAATTGTTGTTCAACAATGAACAAATATTTCAAATATTTAAATATATATTTGATTTTTATTTGATTATAATCAATTTTGTTAAATATTATTTATTATTTCATATCTTAGAGGGTCCCTTCCAAAGTGATGCACTTCTTGTACCGGAAGGATGTCTTTTCGATCATCTACATAATCAAACTAAATGTTGGGAATCTCATAGGTATTATTAAATAAGAATATTATTATTATTATTATTATTATTATTATTATTATTATTATTAACCATACACACACACATGCATCGAGTAAACAAAAAACTTCGTGTCATTTCTAAATTTATATGTATATCATTTAACTCTCTCTCTCTCTATAATCTTTATTAACTTAAACGACACGAACTAACTTTTTTAGTTATCTGATATTATTAAAGCATATATTATACATTTATAATATACAGGTAACTAGAAAAGTTCGTGTTCGTTTTAAAACAATAAAGATAAATTGATACAATCGAACCTAGAAACGGCACGAACTTTCTTCTTGACTTAACACACATCATTGTATATTAAATTATAACAAATAATTTTAAAAATAAATAATAATAATAATAATAATAATAATAATTCATATTGTTATATGAATATATAACAATTTCTTCTTCATATAATAAATAATACATATTTATTAAAATTTAAAGGTGGAACTCAACAGCTGCTGATACCTGCAGAGAACGTAACATGAACCTAAGAAGTTTTGCCATGTTGCTACCATGCGGGATATCACTCTTCTCTGGTGTCGAGTTCGTATGCTGTCCGAAACACCTGAAAGGTACGTAACGTACGTAACATTCTAACATCATAATATCATTCTTCTCTCATTATTGTCGTTAATGTAACGACTACATTTTTATCTAATGACAATACTCACGGCTTACGTAATTTCTCTTTTTCTATTTCTTTCTTCTCTCCCTCTCTCTCCCTCTCTCTCTCTCTCTCTCTCTTTGTATATGAGATCATTTTTATCATCCATTAACAATTTTTCATTCTATTATTGTAGATAAATTATAAAGATGATTTCTTTGTTGTTTCTCTTTTTCTCTTTCATCTAATCTTCTTTCTTACATGATAATCAGAATTTTAAAATAATTAACCTTTGTACTAGAAAAAGAAATGACTTTTTGCCCTTTGTTAATTCAATAAAAAAAAAAATAAAAAAAAAAGCAAAATTCAAACATTTTTTTTCTTTAATGGACAACACAAAATACTAAATGCATAAAACAGAAGTGGGTGGAAGGAACAAATGAAACAAAATAGAAGAAGAAGAAGAAAATGATGAAAAATATAAAGAGAAAAGAAGAATTATAAAAAGCAGTCAAATATGATGAAGGGGTTGAAATGCGTTAAATACACACACACATACATACATACATACATACATACATACATACATACATACATACATACATACATACATACACGCAGGAGGAGGAGGAGGATAAACCCAGGCCAGGCAGAGCAGGGCCATTCATTCTACTCGACATTTTCAATCGTTTTCTTTCTTTTCTACTTTCTTTCATTTCCCTAATATTCTCTTCTACCCTTCTTCTTTTTCATTTTCTTTTTAACACCCCTACACCTTCCATCCTTCCTTTGTCTTCTTTTAACTTCACCCCCCATGTGTTTTTTTTTTTTACTTCTTATTCCATTTTTCTTTTTATTTTCTTCTTCTCTTTATCTTTCTCACTTACTCTCACTGATTACATATCGTGTGCGCTCGCGTGCGCACCGTGTACACACGTGTACACACAAACCTCCTCTACTCTTTTTCACCCTCTTCTTCCAACCCTCTTCTTCCATCTTCACCCTCCCCCCACTACTATCGTCGTATGCTCGCTCGAGTAATCAATAAACGACCGCGCGTCATTCTCGACGACGACGACGACGACGACGACGACGACAACGATTACGCATCATGTTTCTATACTTTTTATCTTTTTTTTTTTTTTTTACTTTTTTTACTTTTATTTGATATCCTCTCCTCTCCCTCTCTCTCTCTCTCTCTCTCTCTCTATCTCTCAACATGATATCCTTTTTTCCATTTTTTTTCTTCTTTTAATTAATTTTTCTTTCTCTCCTTTTTCTTTCCTTTTTACNTTCGTTTGTTCAAAACGAAATGACACAGTTGGAAATGTATTTTTTGTTGAAAAATTCATTTAAATATTATTTTAATTTATTTTGAAATTATTTATCTCTCGGTTAAATTAGTTTTAATTTATATATATATTAAAATATGAGTTTTAAAATGTTTCGTGGTATTTTAAAATATATTATATATATTGTTATTTTATATCTGCTAATGAATTTATTTCAATTTTATATTTGACTTCTTTATTATTCGTTTATAATTTCTGAATGGTAGTGGAATTAATTCTATGTAATTTAATTCTTTTCTTTTTTTTTTTTTTGTTAAATGCAATAAAAAAAAATGATACAATAAAAAAACTTGCATTAAATATACGCGTATAAACTTTTATAATAATAACAGGTAAAATTTATTCTAAAATGTTATATTAATAATTTATATTATTATTATATAGTTGTATAATACTTTATAATTATCCTACAACTTTTATTTAGCATATAATAAATGGATTTTATGAAATGATAATAATCAAATTTGTTTTCCTGTAAATAGAGGTTAGGTTATATTAGCTATTTACAACCGCGAATATTATATTTAATTTACCTGTAAATAGAGAAACGATGATTGAAGACTATTATCGGCTCCTTTTTATGTACACTAGTCCAATTAATCTTACAAATTATTTAATTTTTTTATTATAATATTATTTACCTCTCTTTATCTGTCAATCTCTCTAGTTGTCACTACACTGATTGCTCGATTGATTAATCGATTACTATCGACCCCTGTATGCCTCTTCCTAGGAGTGCGCGGCAAATTCAAACGAAAGAAAATATGCTTTTCTTTATATATGAATTTTCGAAATATGTTTTATCCTTGGAATATTAGTGCGATTAAAAACATAAAATAAGATTGGAAAAAAATATAAATATAACATATATACATACATGAACATAAATACAGTTTCTCCAAAATAAATTCAAAGAAAGTAGTTAAAATAAAACGAAATAAATTATCCCCTAAATCCTTAATAGCATATCATACGTTTGTTTAAAAAAAAAAAAAAACAAATATTGTTTCTCCTATAAATAATATATTTTTATTTCTTGTGTTTTTTTTTCTTCTTCTAATGATTAGTTTAAAATAAAAGTTAATCGTTTTTGTAATCATTGTTGAAACATTTCTTGAAGATTTTGGATACTTCCAATAATCACACACGTGTCTCGACCAAAAGTACACTTAAGAATACTGCTAGCCCATACACTTATTGCACGTCTGCCATGCTGCGACCCAGATAAAAGAACAGCATCGTGGATATAACCAGAAGAGAGAAGGCTTTTGTCTGGCTTTGCAGAAGTCGAGAAGTCAGCTCATCAGAGAGGATCTATTCTCGGAGAATAGAACATCTCGAGAACCTAGTTAGTCAAGATCCTAGCCCTCTCTAACATAACAGGGAAAAATTAGAGCCTCTGGAATGAGGAAGAAGAACTATGTGCCTAAGATTGAGAAAGAAAGAAAGAAACAAAGAAAGAAAGAAAAAGTAGCCAGTAGCAGACATATTCTCTATGTTGTTATTTATTTCCTACATTTTTCTCATTTTTTTTTCTTTTTTCTTTTTTCTTTTCTCTTTTCTTAATTCACCTTTTTCTTCCTCTATTTCTTCATCTTTATAACAAGCAACCTTTTGCTAACTGGATCTCTTCCTTTTTTTTTTTAACTCTTTCTGTGTTGATTAACATAAATATTAGGAAGCATATTTATTATAATTTCTCTTTTGTTCTTTTCACATTGTCATTTTAAATTTAATAATAATAATAAGAATAAAAATAATAATATTTAAATACTTTTTATTTATTTAATCAATGTTATACAAAAAATGATCAATATATATGTAGAAATAATTGAACAGTATTTATAATAAATGAAAGAGGGTTGTATAAAAGCAATAATAAAATCATATTATATTGATACAAAGAGTACGTATTGATATTTTATTATAAATATTGATCATTTTTATGAAATATTAAAAATTTATTTCAAATAAATAATAAATTTACTTCCGTTGTTCATGACAAATGGTTCTGTTTAATTACAGAAACTGTAAAAGTGAAGAAACCAATCGATTTACCGATTCCAAAAGGAGTTGATTATGATCTTGACGACGATCTCGATGACGAGGATGATCTTGATGGTGAAGCCGACGAGGACAATGATTCTGAAAGTGATCTCGATGATGTATTCAGTGATCAACCTGACGATGACGAAAGTGACGAAGAATATTTAGACGATTATGATACAACTACAAGGTAATTCATATGATTTCAATTAATTTAATTGATTTTCTTCTTTTATACTTTATTTATTATAAAAAAATATGCAATGTGAAAAATCTTTAATAACGCAGCCGACCGTCCACAATATTCTCAACGACTGAAAAAGTTAAACAAGAAGCAACGGCAATGCCTTTACCAATTAGCAGCAGCACGCAACAACCATCTCAATCACAAGGTACACCAGACCCTTACTTGACTCATTTTGATCCACGATCAGAACATCAGAGTTACAAGCAAGCACAGATGAGGCTCGAGGAAGTACACAAAGAGAAAGTAACAAAAGTAAGCAAAAGCATTTTTGTTAATTGTTCTTTAAATGATAATGTGTTAAAACAACGGTGCATATGTACTTATTTGTTATATATGTACATAGTATTATTTGGGCAAAAGATTTTATAGCCCCGAACATTGGTGTCGCAATCTTTGTGCTACAACGTTTTCAGGTGATGAAGGATTGGAGTGACCTCGAGGAAAGGTATCAAGATATCAGAGCTCATGATCCAGTTGCAGCTGATGCTTTTAAACGATGGATGACTGCACGATTCCAAGAAACCGTTGCAGCCTTGGAAGAAAGTGGTGCTGCTGAGAAACATCAGCTCAGTGCTATGCATCAACAACGAGTGCAAGTATGCACATTATTTAAATAACGTAATCAACTAATTATATGAATTTTAAATATAAGAATTTATCAAGCATTTGTCTTTTTTATTTATTACTGTAGGAAGCTGTTAAGCAGAGAAATGAAGAAGCTATGTCCTGTTACACTGCTGCTTTGAATGAAACTCCGCCAAATGTAAGTTCCGCGTTGAATTTATTTTTTTATCTATCAAAACTATCCATATATGGGACACCCCTAAAACTGTGTAGAATTATCTGATAAATATATTTGTATATTTTATATTATATTTTGTAGACTCATCGTATTCAGAAATGCCTACAAAAGTTGCTTAGAGCTCTTCACAAGGATCGACACCATACCATTGCTCATTACAAACATTTACTCGACAGCAGTTTGGAACAAGCTCAACGCGAGAAACCAGCGACACTGGAACATTTGGCAGAAATTGATAGAATTACAAACCAAAGCTTATTGATGTTGGAACGGTAATGTATTGAACAAATTTATCATACCTATACGATTGAATATTTTTGCAATTTTTCATTTTTATAGTAAATTTATCTTTGCAAAGTATATTATTATTATTATTATTATTATTATTATTATTATCATTTTGTTGTTGTTGTTATTTTATTATCTTTTCATCGACCTTCAGATATCCTGATCTGAGTGCAAAAATCGGGCGTTTAATGGATGACTATGTTTTGGCGCTTCGCAGTAAGGATGAAACACCAGGTTTATTGTTAGCAATGACTCGAGAGGCAGAAGCAGCTATTTTAGACAAGTATCAAGCGGACGTTGCTAGCAAACAAGAAGGTATATTAGCAGTTCTGTTCTTTTTTCAAAATCATTCAAAAAATTCTACATTTTTTTACGTATATAAACGTATGTGTATGTTTTATTTATAGAAAAAGAACATCAGAAGCAATTAGAACGTGCACGTAAGGAAAAACGTAAGGGTGAACGTGGTGAATTACGTGCAGAACAAGAACAACATGAAGAAAATGATTCAGTGAATGACAATAAGTATTCTTCGCAGCAGTCTGAACAACCGGCTCCCGTTGCAACGCTGCATAATGAAGGAGTGGTTAGGGCAGCACACAGTATGACTCATGATGCCTCACATTCTGAACCGGTTAGAACAATTATACAGTTACATTAGAACCATTAGTAATACTAATTATGTAGAGTTTACTGTTTACATATTCAAGTATTTACAGTTACTGCATTAAAGTTAATTTAACCCCTTAAGGAACAATTTTAGCTCAACGTAATACAACATCGCTCGAATTAACTCGAGCGTGCAATTTAAGGGGTTAAACTTATACAAATAATAAAAATATAAATATGATATAAAAATATTACTAATGTGTTATTTAATAATTTACAGGGATATTTAGTAAGACGTGAAATATATCACAAAGAGAGCCGATCTGTCTATTTTACGCTAGCATTTGCTGGAATCGCACTTATGGCAGCCGCAATCGTTGGAGTTGCTGTATTCAAGAGACGTAATGCGAGAAGCCCACACAGCCAGGTATATTTTTAAATATATTTACAAAATTAATATCTATATCGTGTATCTATCGTGAATAATATAAAATAATACAAATATTTGACACAGGGTTTCATTGAAGTTGATCAAGCAGCTACACCGGAAGAACGACATGTAGCCAACATGCAAATAAATGGCTATGAAAATCCGACATATAAATATTTCGAGGTGAAAGAATAATTGATTGATTTTAGTCGGAACATTTTATCCGCTTTTAAATAATAAAAGCTGGTCTCAAATAGCTTTTTTTCTTTTTCCATAATTATTATTATTATTATTATTACTACTACTACTACTACTACTACTTACATTAGTTCCATTTAAATTACGAACGTCTCATCAATTTATTTTATTTTCGTTATAATATTGATTGAATAATATTTTCTATGAACAAAAGAAAAAAAAAGAAAAATAAACAAGCACGAGACACTTCCGAAGATTCGATTATTTATGCGCTTACATTGTGCTTGCACAGCTAAAATAATACTCATTTAATCTGAAATTAGCTGTCATAAGTCGTAAAATAGGCAGTGATGTTAATTCACATAATGTATAGCACAAGAAATTCGATGATAATGTATTTGTATATGTTTCAATCCCCCCATCAATGATGTTATAATGAAATGGGGAGAATTGTTATCATTATAAGATTGCGGAAATTAATACCATCTATGATGACAGTGCGTAAAAATTATGAAGAAGAATTATCTAGATAAGAATCAGTGTGTATATCTTATACATAATGATGATATACGATTTAAATGTACGTGCCATATGGAAATGGATGTCAGATAATTATTATTATTATTATTAAAAAAAAAAAAAAAAATGCCTGTCTCTTCGGAAGTGCCTCCTGCTCAATAATATTATTTTTCATCATCATAAATATCGAAGAGAAACTTTCTCAGGAAGGAGCATTGCTCATGATAAACGATTTTGCATTAGTTTGATATCATCTTTGATATTCCTTCAATTTTTTATTAACTTATTGACTTTTTCATCATAAAAAAAAGAGGATTGCGAGAAGTACCCGATTGAAAGAAAAGAAAAACAAAAAAAAAAAAAAAGGAAAAAAAACACTAAACAAAATCCTATCTCTATTTACTGTTAAACAATAATAGATCTTAGAATCATCACACCATGCAAACGACATTTTTTCTCTGTAATCCAATAATGCATTTGGTAATGTGCATAATTCAATCGTGTGCACTATTATATAACTTTCTATATTTTTTCGCTCTGATATTTTTAGAGATAGAGAATGGCAATAAGATTCTACGATTCAGTCCTTTTGAATAATACTAATAATAATATTAATAATAAAATAATAATAATAATAATAATAATATTAATGATAAAATAATAATAATATTAATAATAAAATAATAATAATAATATTAATATTAATAATAATAATAATAATATTAAATATATATCAGTATCTCAAAGTCGTAGCAATTCCGCATTGGGTGATATAAGCTTCGATTAAAGTTAATCCGCTTATGATTGTGCAAGAGTTGTACACGTACGCTACAAGAAACTCTCAAAATATCAGACCATCAATTGATGATGCACATTAATAAGGGAAAAAAAAAAGTTCGTGATAAATATGTATATATATATATATACATATATTTATTTATATATAAATAAATAAATAAATAAATATATATATATATATATATATATGTATAATTTTTTTTTCTTCGTCCCCGTTCGATTCCCACTGCCTGGTTTTTTTGGTAAAATCTTTCTGTACTTAACGTTTACTTAGTCTATATATATATATATATATATATATATA